CTTTCCAAATTAAAGGCAAACAACAGGAATTGGTTTTATAAAGCGAACGATAAGAAACTATTCAAATGTATTTTACATGTTTTTTACCCTAATGTCACTGAGGCTGTTCACCACCTGAATGCCTGAGGTTGTCCCATTAAAAACAAAAGGCATTTTCTCAGGTGACATAGTTATAACTCCAGAGTGTCTGTGTCCTGGTTTCTACCTTGTGTTCATGCATTGACTCTGGGACCTGCTGACCGTTCCTCCACAGCCTGGTTACCTGTCACTGCTTCACTACTTCGGAGCTGCCACCAGCTTCATATGCGTCTGCTTATACACCATCCTGCTCACTATGCTGACCGGGAAGTGTGTGCTGACTGGGTACGAGAGGGCCCTCTACCTATTCCGCATCACCTCCACTGTGATTCAAGCCATCGTCACCCTCTGCTGTATCCTTTTATAATCCATGGACAGTAAACTTTATTGGTGGGGTCTCATACAGGGGGTGTGGACAGTTTGCTTCAGCAGTGACATCTGTGTTCCACTCTCCAGCTGCTTTATTCAGCACCACAGGCCGTTTGTGCTTGACTTGGATCCGGCCGGCTGCTTTGTTTACAAAGTGGGACTGGCCACTAAAGTCCACCTGACTGAAGCAGATACTGTGTGTATAAATGGCATTTATGGCCACATCAATCTTTATCCATTGTTTCCTGTATATGGCTTTACATTTCACTCTGACGTATGGAAGCTACAGTGGGGAGTGTACAGTTTAATAACAAACTCAGAAACACTTGCACACATCCAAAAGTCAATGATAACTGCATTTTTTTTCTTTTGGTTTTTGATTTTTTGATAACGGCTCTGTATTTATATAGTTTTTATAGTCTTAATGGCATTTTGCATAATGCAGTTTTGGCATTCACACATACATTCATTCAGTGCATCTATGTGCAATGACAATCACGTACTGCTGGTGCAGCCACCAGAGGTATCTGTACAACCCTGTTTCTCTCAGAATCTGGCCCAAAGGCGCTACCATACCTGGAATAGACGACCCGTTCTACCTCCTCTTCTGCAAACCTAACCTTTAGGCCTGAAGTTTGAAGTGATGCAAGACAGAAACACAGTTCCTATAAATGCACTGCCTCTTGTGCAAGCAGGTAAAGTCCTGTATTACAGGTTGACAAGAGCTGCAGCTCATGAGTCCTCATGTAGTAAAATCATTTTCACATTTCCTCACGAATGAGCGCAAACTCACTTCATTGGGTTGTGAATATTCATTCAGGTCGTAGGATAAAAAAGCTAACAATGTAAGTAAACAGATTTACATTAGATTCCTGAAGATATTTACCCAGCATCTAAAAGGCTTCTTCACACAGGGAGGCCTTTCACTGCCTCTGACTCATAAACCTGTATTCGTGCTTTGATAACTGTCCTCACTAGCTTTAATGTAATCTTCAGTCTCTTCAGAAGCAATTTACCACACTGTCACTAACTGCTCCAAACGTCCTTAACTTGCACACCTTCAGATTTGGTTCTGTTTCCCCAGAATGTTTACTTTTACGTCCACCTAGCGGCCATATTCGAGTGGATGATCAGTGTCAACTTGGAGCTGTTTGAGCTCAGCTACATCGTGGAGTTTTACTTCTTCTCGTCCTTCATGCTTTCAAACCTGCTGAACAAACGAGACGAAGAAAAGCCTCTCATGATGGTGATGCCTTGATTGAGGCTGCCAGGGTCCAGCTGAATCACATGGGCAGAGGATGGACTTAAGGCATTTGTAAGGACAGTGACTTCACCATGGGGGGGACCAGAAATGATATTTTTCATCAACCTGCAGACACGGATTTTAGCCATTTATAGATAATGAGCAATTTTATTCCCCCCTTTGGAAACTGTTCGCCGGGTGTATCTGGTCTAGAGGTAAATTAATTATTTTATTTAATTATGTATTGGAACTAGGCAATTTGTGAACAAAAGACATCAGATGTATTTATTTTATTTTTTTACAAGTGATGTTGATGCTCTGCCAAAGATCAACTAAACTGGGGTATCATACTCTGATACACTTTGTTTACAGATTTTTTTTGTTGGATTTTGATCAGCAATGAACTTAGAAGAAATTATTATTGTAGACATTAACATGAAGGCTCATGTATGGATCCAAGGACTTCTGTTTAGCTCAGGGACTTCAATGTAATTATGACACTTGTGAAAACCGACAAATCCTGTTCATAGATTTGACTGTGAGATAACAGGTGGGAGGAGGAAGTGGACAATATTACGATTTAAAGTTCCCGTAAGAGCAAATTATCCTGTTTGCATGAATGAGGAAAGAGTGACAAGTCAGAACAAATTTGTTTTGACAGTTTATCCACACTAAAAACAGGGAGGGAGAAAACTCAATGGGCTAAGTTGAATAAGTATTAAGGCCAGGCAGCATTAGCTATTCTCAGAATAGTGGGTGTTGTTTGTTCTGTTTGCATTAAAAAGTTTTAGGTGTGATCTGTTGATGTATTTCAGCTCTTGTGAGAACAAAACAAATGATTTAAAGGTACAGTGTGTAGAATTTAGTGATATTTAGTGTTGAAATTGCATGTTGCAGCTGAACACCCCTCGCCTCACCCTCTCCTTCCAAACATGATAAAGAACCTGTGGTAGCTTCAGTTGTCTTTAAAACTCAAAAGGTGTTTAGTTTGTCCAGTCTGGACTAATGTAAAAAACATGGCGACCTCTGTAGAGAGAGTCCCCTCGATTTAAATGTTAAGTATTTAAATATAAAGGACCTTTTCTGGGGTAAAGAAAACTAAAATTCATACCATTTAGATTAAATAAACTAGTGAAAACATCATGAGGATTATTCTACATTAAATTTCTGCCAATAGATCCCTTTCACCTAAACCTTACACACTGGACCTTTAAGTCACTTTTATATAAAGTAGCCTTAAATGTCTCAGAAATCTTTTGCTTTCTGCAACTATGTGGTCCAACGTGAATAGCAAACAACATGAATTTCAAATTAAGATTTTGTATTTCTGTATTTGTGGTCTCATCATTGTTTTACTTACCACATAAATCGGAGCTTCAGGGAGAATGCTGCTGGATTTGTAAATAAAATAAAAATTGTGCCTGTTTCCACTGCAACACTATTAACTGTGCCTAATGTATATTTTGTTTTACAATACATTGTCATATCACAAATGAGCAGATGATGCTACCTCAAATACTTTAATTTCATACTGTCAGCTTTTTACTTCAGATGCTGCTGCTGCAGGAGGTGGGGTCTAATGTTACCTGTTCTCATTGGATCGATTCCTCTCTAATGATTGATTACTTAAAAATAACGCGGACATGTAACAATGCCTTACAAAGATGAAGTAGAAAGTACAGATATTTGCTGATATACAGTACGTATTCCAGGAAAAGCAAAAAAGTACCCGATAACAAATCTACTTAAGTACAGATACATGAAAAATGTACTTTAGTAACGAAGTAAATATATATACTTTGTTACATCCTACCATTGCACTTCAGACACTATGACTCCATAAATTCTGGCAAAATGAGGCAACATGGTGTCTGGTTTTAATGCAAAGCACTTAACCTTTACTTGAAAGAAGGTAATATACATCCTGGAATTACAGATAATAAAGATACATTATGAGCAGTCATTTCACAATGAATATCATCTTTCCTTTGCATCAACCGAGAGGAGTGCGACATTATCTACAGTTGTTTTGTTAGGAAGAAAACAGTGAAAAGCACACCTAAGTCTGTCAGCATCTTTACTGTATGGTACACTGTAAAAATGCCATCTATATGCAGTAGTCCACATTAACCTCAATAACAAAAAAGAGAGAAAAAAAAAACAATTTGAAAAAATAAGAGTTCCATGGTTGTTTTAACTAAGTAGTTCAAACTGCAATGCATACATTATAAATAAATGTAAAGGGAAAGGAAAAAAAAGTTCAAATAGTACTACAAGCAATATTCCACAATTCCAGCATGGCTGAAACAATAAGTGGCCTCAATCCAAACCATACACTTTGGAGTGTGACCACAGCTTTAACAAACCTTTAAGATACTGTAGATTCTTCAAACGGGTGCGTCTGAAAGTCCAACTTATGTTCAACACTTCTGGATAAATCAAGTTAAAAATTGCCCTTAAAATTTGTTCTGTGACATGATAAGTTGCCAACCATCTTTTCCTGTGGGGCGAGGAACACTTTGAGTAAGGAGTGAGAACAACACCAGGCCTTTTCATTCAGCAACTTTCTCTTTTGCAACTTAAAGCCATGGAGTACAGAAAAAAAAGCTTGTTCTCACATAAGCTAGGGGAGGTCACGGGTATTATGATGTTTCAATTCTAAAAAGGAAATCATTTGTGTTCTCGCTGAAGCTCACGTATGACTTCTTTTCCTTTGCGGCCTCCACCTACTTATGAAAACTGCTCCACTGATCTCTCATGTTGGGGGAAGCTCCAACTGTACACACTATGAACAATTCTCTTCTCAGTAAAAGGAAAAGGACACTAGTAGTTGACAACTCAAAAAATTATTAATGTGATGATGTGGATTGGTAATTGTTTAAATCTACAGCAAGGTGGAACGGGGGTTGTTTGGGGGGATGGTTTCAAACGGTGTACATGTTCTTGGTGGTGGATCCGCTCTTGCTGGACGTGTCGTCATGTGACTGGTAGCCGAACATGGCTTTGGTGGGGAGGCTGAGGCGCTCTTTATAAGATTGCCTGTGGAAAAAAGATGCAAGTTAAATGCTGTGCAAATTCTAACTTAGTGTCACCATCTAGTGGTCAGCTGCAGTCAGCAGTGGGTGTATTATTTCCTGTTAACAAGGTGATGTCACTACCTACCCTATCGTCATGATGGCCTCCCTGTTTTGGCAGTTGCTTGTCCAGATGGCTATTTTGTCACCTTTGGGTCTGACGTTGACCACGGCACCGCACACGTCTTCACTTGCCTCATCGAACGACTCACCGACTAAACACAAGAGCTGGAAAACACAATACGTGACTCACTATGTATTATTTCTTCATTTTAAATGTTGGTTTGTTAAGCTGCTCAATTAAAACTGTGGTTTTACCGTCTCCATCCAGTAGCGGTCCAGGTCATTGTGTCTCTGTTGTTTATTGAGAGTCATCAGCCATCGGCCTCCCAGTTTGTTCCTGTCGTCCTCCCACATTGGCTTAATCCCATCCTACCACACAAAGTCAAGGGGTTACTAAATGTCTCTTTTAAAAAACAAGTTGAGTAGAAATTGGTTTCTTGTCAACTGTATATTTTTAACAAAAACAAGTCTTACCTTAAATAAGCAATAATCACAGCCAAAGCCAAGTTTGCTTGGTTGCTGTATGTGGTTGTATAATCTATAGAAAACACAGAATAAAAGATGACTTTAGCTTTATCTGACATCACATTAAAGATACAGTGAAGAACAGAATATGTTACCCCTTTAAAGCCACAATCACTTCAATCTGAGAAGTCTCCAGAATTTTACATTTCATATGTCAGTCACTTCTATATAAAAGTTGCCCAGCTTATATTTTCAGAAACTCTTAAATTTGTCATATTATAATTTATATATCTTGAATTTACGTGGCTTCAGAGCTTTTAGTCCAATCTTTAGTCTTCAGAAAAACAATACTATATACTGCAGATGAACATCAATCATCAATCTGCAATTAATGAGGTGCAGACTAGAGGTAAATGTGACGCATAAACAAAGTGATATTACAATCATGCTGTTTCCACATAATTTCAATGTAGCTTTACGTATGTGGCTTTAGCATATGTAATATATAATTTGTGTAATATATAATATCACATTTCAACACTTCTATAAAGTGAGATAATCATAATAACATTGCAGGATAATTAGGGAAAACTTACGCCCAGAAGTCTTCCACTGTATCAAACTTGGAAATGAGACGCAGGTTCTCTGTCCAGCTTTTGCTTTTGTCGTTTTTGAAATACCACAGCGCCCATCTGAGAGAGGGGAGGACAAGAATCACTGTCAGTATTCACAGAACTGCAGAAAAATTACTCAAGAACAAATGACAGAATGATTATAATTTCTTTACTTTGAAAGGTAATAAAATGTTTTAATCAGAAAAATGTGTGATAAGTTTCAGCCGAATGAGGAAATATCTAAAATGCATCTACTAGAAGTGATTTTGTATAAAAAATAAAATAAAGTTAATGCAGAGTCCTGATTACAGAAACACTGCAGCTCGTCACAAAACATTATCAATGCAACAGAACAGAGAATGGTGTCCATCAGAGGCACCACAAACGCAGCCTTTGTTTATAACGGGTGCTGTTATTCTTTCATCTATTCCCAGGAAGGGGCTAGCAGGGGACGGACGAGGGCAACGAGGGGACATCAGCAGAACCCTGTGCCCCCATATTCCCCCACCCTCATCTAGCAGTAACCAACCATCAACCTGACCCATGTGCCACAAACACAGATATTAATAAACTCAACCAATCAGAGGATTAAAATACACTTGTGCCATTCGGCAGCTCCACTGACCTAATGATATAACATAGGAGGAGATATGAGTTGGCTCTCCTCTGGTGAACCTGGCTGAGGAAGCAGGGTGTATACATGACTCGTATGTCAACAAATATGGCAGTCAGCAGATAAGAGTCACTGATGGACTTATGGCAAGCCTGTCTCCTCATAAATCATTCAATCCTACCAGATTATTAGAACAGACAAAATAGTTTCAAATCGTGATCCTGTTTTGCTCCGGTGTGGGCGGGGAAGTGAATAACTAAATACAGGTGTAGCTACTTCAGCTACTTGTGAGCTTGTGTTGGGAAATTAAGGCGACACCAGTGGCGAGACGATGTAAACATGGATCAACAGAAAAGCAGTGAGCTTTTACTTCAGACTGAAAACTGCTGGTTGTTGGCTTCCATTTATTTCAGTGCCATATAGAAATCATGTTGCATGACCTGAAACTTGGAAATGATCATGTCTACTTATGTTACAGTGAGGTAACGGAGCTGTGCAGCCTCTTCAGATCCATCTGTGATCTGTGCGCTCCCCTTCACAGAGCACAGATACACAAAAATAAAAGCTAATATATTAACACTGTTGAATTATTATTTCATTTTCACATATAAGAACACCAGTGTGGTAAGACCCTTCAGTTGTCCACATAAACCTGTATATTTGCTGGTTTGGGTTCAGTGCAGGTTAGTCTCAACTAGGGCTGGGTAATTATCACAGTATATTAATTTTAATCAATAGCAAGTCTTTGTCATTCTCTGCTCATAGACAAGTCTTCAAACTTTGAAGAAACAATAATGTGACATTCAATGTAATAATTATCAATATCGACCGATCAACATTTTGATCTTGATATAATTATTGGCCATATCATTTTAAGTTTACCTGTTTTGCTCTTTTCATCTTTATTTCAAACTGATGCTACATTCATCCAAAGTGACTCATTCATTTAAGACAGGTCTATTCCTGCAAACTGCTGGAGCAACAAACAATACAACAAATGTTTTTAAATAATATTTTACAGACTCCAGATAATTCAACAGGACTTCCTTGTGGTTAAATACAGTCAGTGAAAATTACTCCACAACTAAGG